GCTTTGTGCATAATTAAAAACAAACAAACAAACATTCTAAAGTATCCACTAGGAGTAATATACTCACAATACCTTTTCGCAAAAGAGTGGTACCTTAAAATTTGGTAACTCACGGAAAATTTTACTAGCCCAAAGATAGAATTTATAAGAACGGGATTAATTTGACTAATTTAATAATAAATTTCTTTAATTTATCATGAAGATAATTTTTTTTATATATTCAACATAGTGTATCTTAAATATTATCAAGAAAAAAATTAAATAAAAAGCTGTTTTAAGCACAAAGCTACAAAATGGGCTATCTGTGCTCTGCCCACCACGGGTATCGAAACCCGGATTCTAGCGATGTAAGTCCGCAGACATTCCGCTGTGCAACTGGAGGGTAATTTGAGAACAGAGAAGTATCATTGATTGAATAATTTCAATTTTAGCATTAATGGTATAATACTGTCTTGATGACTTGCAAAAAGGAAACTATAATGGTACATTATACGAATAAATGTTAAATGTAATGCTTTGAACAAAACATGAATTTATTTTCTATAATAAGATATGAGATCATAATGAAGGAAAAAGTTTTAATGTCATACAATTAGGGACGGCTAACGCAAATAGCCCTCGTTTAGTTTTGTGCCAACTTCCAGACAAACTAAACCTAATGCTGCATCACATGTTAATAGTGAGCAGCTTCAAATATTTTCGTTTCTTTGTAGTTAAGCAGATAGATACATAATGGGCTATCTGTGCTGTGCTCACCATGGATATCGGAACCCGGTTTTTAGCGTTATAAGCCTTTACACTTACTACTGTGTCACTGGGGGTAACTTCATAGAAAGATGTGTTAATCCAACAATGAAAACCATCGCGTTGTTGGCTGTTGAGCAGCTTTGAAAGTGCTTCTATCAAATACTGAAATAATACGTAAATCTTGAGCTCGTATATGTTACAATTGTGAAGTTAGACGATAATGTGATCAATATTTTCAAGTAGCAGTGTATCACTTCACAATATAAACCGGTTATTTCAACTTCATTTCCTTTGCTGTGAAGCATTCTAGGATAACTAGTAGATTTCATAGTACTCATCTTGTTATCAGTTGTTTCATTGTAAAAAAACAATACTCTAATTAAGTTTATTCGTTCTAAATTTATAGCATAATTCAACTTTCTTCCGTTTTCAGAGTATATACATGAAAATTTTGCTGTATTTGATTGTCTTATCAAACAACATTCAACAAATGAAAATTGCTCAGTGCCAGTAGATTTAATACATATTTTGGCGCGAATTATAAGTATTCGCATCGACGAATGTTACATTAATAATACTAAAGCTGCTTTTATGTTTTACGTTACATAGTCAAGAATCAAATGTAAACATGCTAAAAAAAAAAATATATTTTAATTTTGTTTACAAAAATAGGTGTTTATATTCACATGTCAGAATGGCTGAGCGATCTAAAGAAAAGAGTGGAGAAATTCATTCCTGGCTCACGGGAGTAGTAGGGCTGTACTCGCATGGCATGCCGCTAGTGGGTGCCACACACGTGTCAGACTCGGCGAGGGGGCAGATGTCACCAAAGATGATAACGCCATAGTTCCACAAACTATAACCAGATAGCACGTTAAAGGGCCGCCATGACGTCACAGTTACACAAATTATCACCAGAGGGCACAGCTATCTTAGAGAGGGTTGAAATCATAGTTAAATACCAGACAGATGGCTATGACGTAATAGTTCTACGAAATCAGAGAACGTGATTTTAGGCCACTATAACAGGCGGCCATGATGTCATAGTTCCACGAAGTTGGGACCAGCATAAATTTGATCAACATGTCTCAACATGAGTATAATTAATACACTCGGTATAAAACACTAATTCATCAGTTCTATACATTTCCAGCCCCCAGTGGCACAGCAGTATGTCTGTGAACTTACAATACTAGAAACCGGGTTTCGATACTCGTGGTGGGCTGAGCACAGATAGCCCATTGTGTAGCTATGTGCTACACAAACTATACACTTCCTTACCATTTATATTCAAATCTTCCTAAAAAGGATACTTATCACTAATTTATTAGTTAATTACAACTCCTGGCCACTTATATTTAAATTTTCCTGAAAAAGGATGCTTAACACTAAATTATCAGTTCTACATTTAATTACATTTCCTGACCACTTATATTTAAAGCATCCTAAAAGGATGATATCATGAAATGATTAAAACTTACTGTTTGACTCTATAATTATAAATCAAGTGATTATTTCAAAGATTTTCGGAGCTAATTTAATATGTAAGACAAAATATTTCATTTTACACATGATACTTTTACAGTTTTATCTTACACGAGTTTTAAAAAGGTGGACACAATACTTCCACATATGATCAATGTCTAGATTTAATTATATTAAAGCCATTATTTTGCTTTTTTATCAGAGGTACTAATTCGTTTTGCTACAACTGAAAATAGTAAACGAATGAGTTACTGTTTAGCCCTCCATTTTCTATATAACACTCCCCTGAAGATTAAAATTGCATAAAACTTTCTAAGACTGTCTAACGAACGATATTAGGAATTGATCACTGGCAAACACGCCTCCAAACTTCTTTGTGAAAGTATGGAATACATTTCTAAAGTGTCCAAAGCTTCTTTCAGTCAATGTTCTGTACAACACTTAGTGTTTCGCTTTCAGAAGTAAAACATACATTATTTGAATGACACAGTTATTATAACCAATAATTTACTTTATTGTCCTACAACTAAATATAATAAATGAATTACTTAATGTTTAACTTTACTATTATATAAAATAACAACATTCACTTGAAGATTAAAATTGCATAAAATCTTGAGACTGTCTAATGTTAACATACTATTAGAAAATCACATGCATACAATCTGTACAGTGACTTTTAAAAATTAAGAACGGTCACCACGTGGTCATTGATACATAACAGTTGAAGGCAAAGTTGACCTTGTGTTCGTCTAATCTGAGTAATGCTTTCATTTCTTGATATCTATTTCAGTATCTTTCATTTTAACTCAATATTCCAAATGTATATAAAGGACCTTAAATTATAAACCAAGTGATTATTATAAAGTTTTAGGTAACATAAATTACATGAATTAGTGTTTGTCATAGCCTAATATACTATCATACATACTTAACAATATATATATATATATATAATATATTTGATAATGAAAATAACCTCTAAATAAGATTAATGTTCACTTTACAAAACGCTAAATGTATTCAATTAGACTGTACGTTTCTGTAATTATAAATTATAATACACCATCTTTATCTATCTATACATAATATATTAAATAACCAAAATAAACTCTACATACAGTTAATGTTCAACATACTTTAATTATCGTTTTTGTATGTTATTGAAATTTAAAAGTCGGCAAACATAGTTCTTTACATAGTGTTACAAACCAATAAATGATTACTTTATTACTCAGTTAGCATACAATTATTACATACTGTGCCCGAAATACTGTCAACAGTTAGATAAGTTTCAGTTGGCTTAGATTAATTTTTTCAAAATAAAATATCGATTCAATTCAACTTAAATGTGTGAAATGTACGAGATTTCATTAAACACTAACATCTAATTATTATATCAAATATAATGTTTTGAAACATATTTTGAAATAGTGAAGCTATATGTTCACACGAAACACTACATAGAATGGGTCATTGACACACATGACAAAGGTCAGTTCTGAGTTGATCAAGTCTATTTCTCAATACACAGTCGAAATTGGTAGCTTGACCATATATAAACAGCTGTCAATCAGTCTATAATCACTTTGAATTCAACCTTCATGCAATTACTGTATCTTATAGTTCTACTAATGATAACCATGGACAATTCAACTGATGTAATTATGATTTTTTATCATATATCTGAACTAAATGAAATAAGTACTTTCATAGATCTATTTTGATAATTTGTAGTCATATTTATGTAGAATGTGGTCCCACTATCGATCAACATCGATCTAAATGAGGTGAGATCGATTTTTAAAACTTCTATATAATTCACATATCTGAAATTATTTTCCTTTACAAATTATATTTATTAATACATTTTTTTATGAGTTTTATAGGTATCTGCTGAACGTCCCCACATGGAAGACGGAGATTTTATCACAAGAAAGTTTGCAAGTAAGAGAGTTGAAAAGTATAACGCAGCATGTACCACATACAATATATTATTTAATCATAAAACACATGGACTGTAAACACGCTCAATAAATACATTCAAAAGATGCTGGATGACACAATGAAACACCTAGACAGTAGAAATAAAGTAAAAGTAGGTGTTTATTCAGATCATGTGGATAAACTAATAATTACATGCTTACAGAATATGGATCTTTTCTTCGCCTCAAATGACTTTAACTACCATCGAAAAACTAAATCAAAGTAAAAAAAAACACACCATTAGATGATTCATTCAAAATTGAAGTAACTACATTTGGATTACCAGTAGTCAGTGCCAGACGTAAATTACCAAACATTAGTATTGACTGACTTTAAAAAATCGGTTATTACTATAACTAATAATTAGAACCTTTGCTGTGCTAAGACTACATTAATAGCCTTAGCATCACTCAGAAAAGATACAAAATATATTAGAATTAGAGATGAACGAGACCACTACTGGCACGTATGGCCAAAGATTTGCATACTTTGTCTAATGTTGTAGAAGGACCATGCAGTATAGAAGGCATTCTAAATTTGAACGTCATCGAAATATTCAAATATATGTAGTATCTTTAGAAAAATTTCAACTGTGTAATATATAGAGGTCCTTGACGTCCCGAAAAAATTACTTATGGTATCATGATCATCATTTCGACGTTATTACTTCAAGAAAGGTTTCTTTGGGGTAAGTTACTGTTTAGAATGTGACAAGCATTTGAACATTTAAATATACACCATTGTTCTGAATATTATAAAATGTGTTATAGTAATGAATCTCAAATAGTTAACACATAGTTTGTTCTGATTGTAACATATTTTGTAAATCTGCAGAATGTTACAACAGACACAAATCAAAGAATGGTTAACAAACGATATCTTTGTTTAATAATTTTTACCAGTGTAGAAATTTGTTTTGTCATTATTGACAGAAAGAAACGTAATCCTGAATTTCATTGATGTGGTAAAATCATATGTGTATGGTGTAAATCGTATGTCTTAAATAATCATTTATATTTTCTACAGGATAAAAAAAAGTCAAAGATTCGTCGAATAAATACTTATATTTTATTTTGACACAGATCAGGAAAGCGGAATACACGAGGTAAATAAATACTTATATTTTATTTTGACACAGATCAGGAAAGCGGAATACAAGAAGTAAATTACTGTGTTGTCCATGATTTTAATGGTAAGGAAACAGTTTTCAAAGGTTATGATTCACGTGACGAATTTTGTCAATTCGTATTTTCGAAGGAACATAAGAATTGTATAGCTATAAGGCATAATATGGAAAGGTTCTGACGAGCACTTTATCTTGAATTATCTTATTCGTTAATGGATAAAACTCGACGTTATCATAAACGGTGGAAAAAGTCTCAGAATTAGAATAATTGACAGTTACAATTTTATACTTTGTCTTTATCATTGTTTCCAAAAACATTTGGATTCGAAAAACTACAGAAATAATATTTCCCTCATCTTTTCAATATAAAATCAAATCAAGTATATTGAGGACCTATACCGGATGCCAGTTTTTATTCTCCCAACACCATGTCAGCACCCATAAGACAAAAGTTCCTAGATTGGCACTGTCAGCAACAAGAAGAGGATTACATCTTTGACTTTCAAGAAGAGATTTACACGTAAGAAAAATATAACACTATCAATGTTGATTCTTATTAATTTTTTTATGATCTTGATAATTTTGTTGAAAGTTATACCTATCATTATTTATTTTTATCTTTAGATACCGCTGATCAGATGTACATATACTTCAACGGTGCTGTCTTCAATTCAGGGAAGAGTTTCTCACAAACTACGATGTAGATCCCTTCAGATACACGACCATTGCTTCTGTATGCATGGCTGTATACAGAAGCAAATTTATACCACCATGATTGATAGCTCTCATACCTAATCACGGATACTTTATGATCAACAAATACAGCCAAGTAAGTATCCAATGGTTAGATTATGTATAAAAATCTGAGGGGCTAAGATTCAACATGCACTTAATGGTGGTGAGAAACAAATACTAAATTATAGAGTAGATGGTTTCTGTATGAAACAAAACACGACCTATGAGTTTTATGAGTGCTACTCCTATGGTTGTAATAAATGTCATGACTCTAACACACAGAATGTAGTTCTAAATAGACTCATGTGGTTTATTAGAAATTGTACATTTGAAAGACAGAAACAGCTCGAAGCTCTAGGATACAAAGTGGTACCAATATGGGAGCATTAGTTTAAAAAAATGAAGTCTAATGATAAAGATTTAATAAATTTCCTTACGGACCATACAGTAGTTTCTTGCCTAGAAGTATGAGACGCCTTCTATGAAGGGAGAGTCAAATAGACAAGACTTTTATACGGTATAAAAGAAGGAGAAAAAATCAGGTACATGGACTTTACATTGCTATATCCATGGACAAACAAATATTGTGAGTATCTGGTTGGACATTCTACCATAATAACATCAAACTTCTCTAATTTAAACAATTCTTTTGGTCTTATAAAATGTCAAATTCTAGCCCCAAGGAAATTCTATCATCTAGCTTTACCATTTAGATGCAATGTTAAATTAACCTTTCCATTATGTGGATCATGTGTAAAATTGAGATCACTACCACCAGGTAACCACAGTGATGAGAAGAAAACTTTCATCAGTACCTGAGTCACAGAAATAAAAAAAAACAGTCGAGTGTGGATACCAGGTAATAAGAATATATGAGATTTATCATTTTCGTGTCAAATCTAGAGATGTTTTTATAAACTATATCGATAAGTTTCTTAAATTAAAGCATGGAATTTCTGGTTGGCCCTTTCACTGCAAAACACCTGAGGCAAAGAAATATTATGTTGACCAATATAAGGAAAATGAAGGAGTGCAACTGACTCCTGAAAATATTGTTTTTAATCTAGGAAAAAGGTCAGTTGCAAAATTATATCTTAATTCTTTTTGGAGACATTGGGGTACGTACCTTTGAGAACAAACCACAACTTACCTATGAACATCTGTTAAATAATACCATTCATTAATGAACGATAATACCAAAATAATAACAGAAGTTACACTGATTAATGAAGTAATAATGACTCTTCATCGAAAACATAAGTATGAATATCTGCCACATAAAGATCAAACCAACATCTTTCTGGTGGCTTTCACAACAGAACATGCTCGTCTGAAGTTATATCATCCACTAGATAAGTTAGGTTCATCTGTATCGTATTATGATAAAGACAGTATTGTATATATTTCAGATGAATCTAATGATCCACTTCTAGAGGATTATTTTGGCGAGTTTACAGACAAACTAGCTGGACACTGTATGACATTGTGGGTCAGTGGTGATCCAAAAAACTACGAGTACTTACGCGACGATGGAAAGTCGTGCTGTAAAATAAGAAGGTTTATCCTCAATTTTAACAAAAGCAAAAAATTGAACTTCTCATTAATGAAATGTATGATAACAGACAGATATATTCAGTCCTTTTCAACCTCCTATAACTATGACTAATCACAAGAAGATTTGTAGACATTTAAAAACTCAGACCATTTACAAGAAGGAAGAAAAGAAGAATTATCATTCAGTTTACACAAAATGACACATCCTTCCAGACTTTAACACCCTTCTATATGGATATTGATTTTTTCATCTAATGGAACTAACTCCTTGCTATAGTCTATGGACTGAAGAGAGGGCATGTGCAGGGCCTTGGGAGTAGACCACAAGTGCACTCAAACATGATCTATGTAAGGTGAGTCCCATTTCATTTATTTCTCATTAGTGTTTGAGATGGATGACTGTCTACTACACATTTTTTATATGTTTGGTATCAGGTCAAACAGGAAGTGGTAAATAAGAAAAGTTTTTAACTTATCATCATGAAGTTGTTTATCCTATTCCTGAAACATCTTATGGTTATATGATGAATTTCAACCCAAACTGTATACAAAATTGGTGCAAAATATTCCACAAATTTAATTTGTCGAAGGCTTTCCTGAAATTTTTCATGATTATTTATGGTTTCATAAACCAAATATTTTTATCATTGATGATTTTATGAGAAAAAGGGGAGAAAATAAATGAGTGTCTCAATGTTTTACACATGGAAGTCACCACATTAATTTATCAGTGTTTTGTATTGTACAGAATCTATTTCATCAGGGTAGAGAGTTTAAATTCTCAATATATTATTTTGTTCAAGAATATCAGAGACAAATCTCAGTTGAATGTTTTATGGAGGCAAATGTTTCCATCATGTGTCAAATATTTTGAAGAAGCTTATCAAGATGCAACGAGACAACCATATGGTTTAACTGAATATATACTCATTTATTATCATGACTGCTGCAGTGATAGAACTAGAAGGACTTTATCTGAAGGATTGGCCATATTCAATTAAAGAACTTGCATTCAAATGTTTAGCTACTGGATATATTTGTGTGTTTTTGTTTAAACAACTGTTTTTGAGTAAATATTTTTCAGATGCTGATCATTGTCAGTGTAATTTTGTGGTGTGGCACATTGATCACATTCCATGGAAATTTGGTAGCACGGACTATCCCTACCTGTGGAGTGTGGCTAGATTGTTGAGAGAGAGCTTTACCACTGTTTATACAAAGGGGAAAGAAAAAGCTGAGATACTGAGAAGTATTCTGAAAATTTCTTGTTACAATACGCAATTGTTTCTTTGTCCCAAGGTTAATCAACTTCCAAAATCAACTCTATCATGTCCATTTCATATTAACAATTATTACCACTGTAGTGTGAAAAAATTAGATATTATATCTAAATGGATGTATAAATAAGCAGTTTTTATAAGTTGTACTTACAATTTCTTTTCATTTATTCATCATGACACTTAGAATTAAATAACATCAAGAGTTGCTCCACGCATTACCTAAAGCTACACAAAAACAGATTAAAGGAATAATTGGTGGATCTAAAAATGAATTTATTTTGAATATTTGTGAATGTGGTTTAAATGTTTTAAAGGGTAACATTCCCATGACGAACATGCATTAGTAGAAACTTAGATGATACAAGTCATTTATGATAGAGTTGGTTGTTAAGAAAACATCAGTTAAACAGAAAAGAAACTTGCTAATACAGAAAGGAGGGTTACAATTACTCATAGCACCAATACTTTCATTATTTGTAAATACTCCTGATCAAATATCTGTAGTTTTCTGATTGATAAGCATTATAACAATCACAGTTATAGCTTCCGAAGTTTATAGCACACTGACTATAACAAACTAATAATAGATACTCTTTTTTTGGCACATTGCATTGGTTATATTTATAGGCATGCGGAGGCTTTCTAGAAAATTCAGATTACATAACAATAGAAAGCTACATTTGAGCATTTATGTACATACATATATTGTTGATTCTTACTCTCGAGAATCTTCTACAACTTTGGAGAATAGGCAGGGGTTTGCAATACATATTTAACAGTATAAGCTATGTATGTTTCTAAATACAAATTTAATCTAAACAAACGTTGCTATTAAAATAAATATATAATAATAAATCCGTCAATGTTTCGATACCTGTTGTGCTTGATGGGAAATATTTTATGTAAATACGTCCTTAATAGACGATCTTTTTATGTAGATCAGATTGCAAAATCTTTATTCTGAGAAAATTAATACATTTTAAAAAGAAATATTGTGTCCAGAATTTTTTATTATTATCATGTTACTGAAAATCTTTAATCATTTGTTTTGTAATTAAAGAGTCCAACAGTAAGTTTTAATTATTGTAAGATATTGTCCTTTTAGAACAATTTAGATATAAATAATCAGGAAATGTATAGAACTAATGAATTAGTGTTTTATACCAAATGTATTAATTATAGTCAGGTTGAGACATGTTAATCAAATTTATGCCAGTCCCACTTCATGGAACTATGATGTCATGGTCGCCTGTCATGACAACTTTGAAACAGTTCTCTGTTTTCATAGAACTATTACGTCATAGCCGTCTGTATGATATCGAACTAAGCTGCGCCCTCTGGTGACACTTTATGGAACTATGACGTCATGGCGGCCCAGCAACGCGCCATCTGATGACAATTTGTGGAACTATGACGTCATCGTCTTTGGTGACCACTTCCCTCTCCATCCTCGAGTCCGACACACGTGTAGTGCCCTCTAGCGGTGTGCCATGCAGGTATAGCTCTAACTACTCACGGGTTACCTGAACGATAGGAGCAGTAAATCTTGCAGACGGATATGTTGTTCAAAGATCTATCTTCTAATCCATTTCAAAACTTGAAACGTAGTAGAAATCATTCTTGAATCGAAGGAAGAACGAATGAACGTGGATCAGAGGTAAGTTTAAAGTCTTATACTGCTAAAATTCTGGTTTCGATACCTGTTGTGCACGATAGACGCAAATATTAACTCATTCAACATAAATCTGAAGCACATGTTCACACCAATTAGCTTTTGCGATTTTGAAAATATTTAAAACCAATCTTGAAATTAATTGGTTACATAAGTTTAAAATCAAATTTTCAAGGAAATGGGAATTTAGCGGACACAGACTGGCTACCAGTAAATCATTCTTTTCCATAATAGTATTTCATAGACTACTAAAATTTTTCCAATGATGTACGCCTTGAATGTGAAAAACAAAAAATCAACAATTCGACATTTTGTAACTATTTTGGACGTTAAAGAAAAATTATTAGTAGATGAAGAAAATAATACACATGCAAGATGTATATTACAAGTATCACCTACCCCGTTATATTGCTAATATTTTTATATGGCTCTCTGACATCTTCTTCAATTCCATAGATGTAATAAATCTATGTAGTTGTCATTTAAATATTACCACGTGCGAATGTTTCATGCGTGTGTGTGTGAAAATAATATTTCATGTTCATAAAAAGTTTGGATACCAATACATAGAGGGCGCTACATTATCTTTTTTTTGTTTAATCTTAAAATCACAAAGCTACACAATAGGTTATCTGTGCTGTGCCCACCACGGGTATCGAAAACCGGTTTTTAGAGTTATAAGCCCATAGACTTACCGCTAGGGGAGCCGTATGATATTAAATATAGTGTAATTTAATTGTATTTTTGAGTTCATAAAGGAAATAGTGTCCGATAAGAAGAGCAAAGTTTTAGCTAACTCCCGTGATAATTATTGAAGATGATTATAACAAATTGTATTAATAGCTATATACAGTTGAAATAAAAATAATTTCTAGAATAATATAAATATTTGTAGTCAGAAACTTATAATAACGTTTTAAATATTCTGATGATTTTAATCATTTCTTGTGGCGAGATGTATATAAACATATTTTGACGTGATTGATTTAAAAAAATACTCTTGTGACAAATAGTTTATTATAATGTTGATTTGTTTATATATTGTGATTTGTGTATTTTATTCAACTATTGGAATCTATTTTATTTTGCATTAATTATATTAATAATTAAATATCATTCCTATTAAAACAACAGCTATTGCACGGGAGGAATCTATTAATGAACTATATTTAAATGGATTTTGTTTGAAGTACTTTTATTTTTGTTTCACTATAGGATTTGATGCACGAAAATCTTGACAAATCTAGCACGAGCTTCCTTATAACAGCAACAGTAAGGTAACGTTAGGAGAAAAATGAAAATGAATTTGCCACCTTTATCTCGACCAACACAGGTTTCACTAACAATTCAGAACAAAGTCTGTTGTAGGTCGATGTTTTCGAAGCTTATTATTATTTATAAAAACGTGCTTCAACTGGCCAACGACCTACAGATGTCAAATGCAGTAAATGTGTACATTTCTCTAACAGGAACCAGCTATGGGCCATTTAAGAATGAAGCGCTGACAGATACTTCTAGTTTTACTAAACAGAAACTTTTTATACACCAAAACAATATCCGTTCTCATTTACCGTCCAAAACTGCTACAGAAAGAAGGACTTAACATATCGTGTTGCTACAGTACATCACTTATAGAGAGAAGTAACCAAATAGAAAAGTGTGGAATATTATTTTTTTTTTATTTCAAAGAAAAGTTTTTGATGCAAATAAAATATCAAGCAACGTACCGGGAATTATGCTGAGAAGACTGTGTTTTTTTTTTTTTCGTTTAGAAAAAATCTCTTTAAATTCACACTCTCTCCATGTTAGGACTATAATCCTTAAAATAGGATCTACATCTAAATTCTAACTCTCCTAGGATTGTCATTACTTTGCTATAAATTCTAATTCATCCAGCTCTTGACTAATATAGAACTGATAATTTATTTCACTCTAAAGATCTTAATAGCCTCATCTTTTTTGCGCCGTTAATTCCAATATTATTATCGCTTCTATCCTTCACAGGTTATAAAACATGTGATCGCATGTTATAAAT